CTGGACAGCATGTTACTGTACTAAATATTATTGGCAGTTGTGTATCTAAACATAGAAAAGGAAATGTGTTTGTACTGGGATGTTAGGATGGCTGTGACATCACTAGGCAATAGAAATTTTTCAGCTCCGTTATAATCTGTGAGACCACTGTCATATATGTGGTTTATCATTGATTGTAAATGAACAGTGGCTCACTTAAAAAAAAAAAAAAGAAGAGCTTTGTTTACTTTGCCATAGAATTCTGATTTTCTTCCAGCATCCATCCATCCACCTGCCAGGACACGTGGGGCACCATATGCTCAGAGTCAGCCACAGCAGTCACAGGATGCAAGCACGGGTAGCTCTGTCTTAGATTTCATAGACTCCGTGGCTCCTTTGCGTGATTGCTTAGAGTTGGAATAGTTACCGAGGTCAGACTCGAAGGGTTGGACCTATATGAGGTTTCTGGCTTTGTGTTCCACTCCAGGGACATGGGAAGCCCCCGTCAGCGCAGCCTTTCACTGAAGTTATGGCATTGCTCTCTTGGAGGGTGCTGGGGAGGGGGCGTATAAAGAGATTGTTTCAAATTTTAAAAATCACCTCCCTGTGACAACTGACGATGTGATCGTCTCACCTCTTTGAATGTCGTTTACTCTTTGTGCTTTCTTTGAGTGTATTTGGAACAGAGAACTGATGAGAGTCTGGTTTTAAAGGATTCATTTCTTTCCCATCTTGATTCTGTAGCTTGCAGTGAGCTGCATACTCCATCGCTAGATCGAAAGCCAAATAGTTTTGTTGCGGTGAGTGTCACCACCCCTCCTCAGGCATTCTGGACGAAGCATGCACAGACGGAGATCATTGAGGTGGGTGCTGGTGGTCCCTCCCTGAGGCGCTGTGGGGCATTCTCTAGTGGTGTCTCTTGTCCTGATGTTCAGTTACTCGTGCATCTGTAGCTGAAGCCGTATTTACGTGAGTTGTTGCTATTTTCCCGTGGGTTTTCAGTACATTGATATTTTTCATCACATTTACTCATCTGGGTAGCATTTATGTTGCCATATCCTTTACAGTTATTGATTAACTATTGGCAGCTTGTTTTTGAACAATAATCCTGTAAGCTTTATTGCCTTGTAAGAGGTAAGACCTAATTCCTTCTTGTCACCTCCAGTTGGCTGTTACTTTGGAAGAGTTGTGCTCATTAATCAAAGCTTAGAAGAGTATTAACTATTAACCACTCTCTTGTCCAAACATACCCCTATTTTTGTTGGTTTTTGTTTTTACAGCCTTTTGAGTTTTGTGTTACGTGTTTACGTTTTCCACTAAGTTACATGATAAACATTTATGGAGGGAATTTTGCAAAATCCTTTTAGATCATCGAGCACATTACATAACACTAAGTGTAGGAGTCGGTGGCATGAGATTCTGCAGTTGTAAAGTGAAGAATTATCAAACTTTAACTGCATTTCTTCTTCTTCACCAGTTGTGCATTTTGGAAGCTAGCCCACCCTTTCAGTGTCTTAGGAACTTATTTCCAAGTTCACGTCAACAATTCTGCTTTCTAAGCATTTGTCGAGTGCTACCTACACATCTAAGCATAGTGCCAGGCACTGTGGATGATACAGAGCCCACCAGGGCACAGTCCCTGCCCCGAGGAACTGACCAGCTGGTGGATGGGGAGGCAGAAATGAATATGGCTGCGCCTGTGCACAGCGAGTATGGGAAGTATTGGAGTAGGAAGGTGAGGAGAGCACCAGGAGGCTGGGATCCTATCTGACTCTCAGAACAGGCTTCCTAGGGTGGGGCTTCATGAAATTCTGCTTCAGTACGTCTGCATTTCTCACAAGCATTTCTTGCAAGCTCCCAAGTGCATTTCTCCCAAGTGCATTTCTCGCAAGCTCCCAGGTGATGCCCAGGTAGCCAGTTGGGGGACTCCATGTGAAGAGCCCGCCAGAGTTCTGTTGTGGTTATGCAGATGTGTGACCACAGGGAAGGATCATGCGGATTTGGGGTCTAACTGTATCCTGGTCGGTGTGTGAAAGGCACACGTAGGAGAGCAAGGAACGAAAGCCTTGAAGGCCGTGGTGTTAATCAGCACACGGTAGTGAGCCAGTGTAGGCTTCTGGGCAGGGGAGTCACCTGGCCAGATGTCCTAACTTGTATAGGACAGTCATTTGGAGGAGTGAGAGTGGGAGGGAGTGGAAAGAAAGGAGTGTGTGACAGAGACTTTGAAGGTGAACCTTGCAAGGGGAGTTGCAAGAGAATATCATCTCCCAGACAGCAGGGAGTTTTGTCTGCTTTGCTTCACTACTGTTTCCCAGACACTTAGAATAGTGCCTGGTGCCCAATAAATGTTTGTGGAAGGAATGAGTGAATGAATGATCACTGGGTGGTTGAGAACAACAGAGAAGAAGGCACCAAAGTGCATGCCCGGGCTTTTAGCCTGCTTGGAAAGGGAGTCAGAGGTGGCCTTAGCCAAGGGCGGGTAGAGGGAGAGATGAGTTGGTCGAGGCCCTAGCAGCCCACCCAGGTGGAGTTGTCCGGTCAGCTTGACCGCCTGGATCTGGATCTGCAGAGAGAAAACGGAGGCAGAGGCCCAGGGAACGGTGGCTGTGATAATTACCTGGTACCTGAGAGAGTATGGTATTACGGGGCTTTGGAGGACACGGCTAAGCTGCCGGGAAATGGTCACCTATGATCTAAAAACTAGTAGTTGATCCTAAAAAAAGGATAGCTTTTAAAAAGTCAGGCTTTAATTATTCCAAACACAGGCTTCTAGAAATATATAATAAACCACTTAAGCCATTCATTTTCTCTCTTTCATCTGCTTGTTTGTACCTCTTAAAGGAATAACCCAAAGTCGTAGGTCTAAATACACATTACACTTTAAGTCATAAAACTAAGAGTGCGTGTGGACATCCAACTTGTTTCAGTTTTTAGAAATTCCTCCCTCTGAGTGTGAAACCCATGAAATGAGTCCTCAGGCCCAGCTTGTTTCATGGGCTGATTTATTGTATGTGGATCTGTCATGGTCTGTCAGACTTCCTTTTCCTCTCTTAAAAAGCAGAGGATTTTGTTTGTTTGTTTGTTTTATGTATTTATTTGAGCTGCCTTTAGCATTCGTGTTGATTCAAGACAGTGAGAATGTTAGTTTCTCATTCTGAAAATGTTGATGTATTTCAAAAGCAATTACATTTTAAAAACCCAACCCTGTGTTCTGATTATTTCCTTTTCTGTTCTAGGGAACCAACAATCCTATATTTCTAAGCAGTATTGCCTTCTTTCAAGACTCTCTTATCAATCAGATGACACAAGTCAAACTCTCCGTGTATGATGTCAAAGATAGATCTCAGGGAACAGTTAAGTAATGTGTTGTAGTTCGTGGGATTTTCTTCCCTTTCAAAAAAATTATGTAATCATTTGAATGAGAGGTGAACACAGATTCACTTCACTACTGGCTCACAAGTTAGCTCATGTCTAAATGCATTTGTCTTTGCAAATTTTTAAGCTTTCCCATCGGGCTTCTGACATCAGAGTAAGAGGTGCTGTGGGAGGCAGTCAGCTGTACTCTCTGGGGCCGTGGTAATTGCATCAGAAGCAAAGCAAGTACACCAATGCTGCCTCTCTTCCTTCTCTTCCTCAGATGTATTTACTGGGCTCTGGAACGTTCATTGTCAAAGATCTGCTGCAGGACAGGCATCATAGGTTGCATTTAACACTAAGGTTGGTGTTCAGTTTTATTCCCTTGGAAGGATCTGGAATGATGAGGTCCAGGGACAGGTGGGGAAAGGACCCATTTCCTATACTGAGAGCGCACCCTTCCCTTCCCAGAAGCAGTCTGTGTGGCGACACTGTGTTGTCTCCTGAGGCAAAACAAATTACTTAGCCTATCAGGGAATGGAAACTTTTAGCATCCATAGGAGATATGAGCACAGCTGTTCCGAGCCCTAAAGGAAGGCCTGGATACATATCTAATAATACTGAGTGTGTTTCTCTGTTATTTAGCCCCTCCCCAGTAAAATATAATCTCCCAGACAGCAGGGAGTTTTGTCTGCTTTGCTTCACTGCTATTTCCCAGACACTTAGAATAGTGCCTGGTGCCCAATAAATGTTTGTGGAACGAATGAGTGAATGAAAGAGAAACCCCCACCGTGTCCCAGGATGAAAAGATGAAAGATACCAGGATGTCAATCCTTCCAAATCATTTTAGGGGCACTTCCCACCAAAAACTCTGACATGGTGTTCTTTTTTCAGAATAATGTAAAAATTGTGAGAACTATGATCTGGGAAAATAATCCAAAATAGCTAGGAAAATTTGACAAAAAATTAAGTCCCTGCAGTGTTGAGACGTTCTGAAGTTACTGTAAGTAAAGTAAAGACAGTATTGCAGGCGTTGACTATCTGATCAGTGAACAGGATGAGAACCCTGCAGCATCGTCTAAACATAGTTTGTTTAGAGAACTTCATTCAGGAAAAAGGAAAAAGGAAAAATCTTAGGTAAAATGAGAGGGATCATGTAAGGAAAAGGACTTTGAGAAAAATATTTAGTTACATCATGCGTCAGAGTTAACTCTAGTTGGGTTAGAGTTAAATGTACAAAACGGACACCATTCTTTTTAAAGGAGCTAAAGGCGACTGATCATTGAACAGATAGAGCAGGAAAGGACTTCACAGGCACGAGGACAGGGCGAGGAAATCACAAAGGAAATGGTCAGTAGATGGGACCAGACAAAAATTTAGAACCTGGTTAAGTGAGACCTTGTAAATAGAAAGCCTGAAGTTCCAGGGTGTCCCCAGGCTCCCTGGATGGATCAGATGAGCCTAGGCCACCATCAGCCACCTAGGTAAAATTAGAGGGATCGTGTAAGGAAAAGGTGTCAGGGCGAAGCTGACTGAGGCTGGGGTAGCATCAGCTCTGTCATCTCAGGATTCAAGGGCTTCAAGGAGCCCTGGCTGGATTCCATTACTTGGAGTTCAGGCTTAGGCCTTGGGCTAATATAAACCTGAGGGTGGGGTGGGAAGGAACAGAAAAGGGCCCAGGGCCAGAACAAGGTGTTCTCTAGTCCTCACTCTGCCACGTGTCCCCCTCACCCTCTGGGCAGGGGTGAACCCAGGCACTGGCAGCAGCTCGAGAACAGCATTGGCTCCTCCTCAAGGAGGCCCCCTCTGATTTCACCCGCACGTCCACACTTCCCTGTGGTGCGTTGTCCGTTCAGACACAGCCCTCCGTTGTGCCCCATGGTTTCCTCGTCTGTCTCGCTGGGGAGGAGCCCTGTGTACACAGCGAATGTTGACCGACTGGTCAGTCAGCTCGGCCCTGCTGCCCCCAGGACCCTGATGACCCAGTATGGCCAGGACTTTGCATTTCAGCAGAAAAGAAGCACAGTTGCAGCACCACTCATTAAAGCATGTTGTACATCACAGGTCTGCAGAGAGTGACCGTGTGGGTAACATCACCGTGATTGGCTGGCAGATGGAGGAGAAGTCAGACCAACGGCCCCCTGTGACCCGGTCTGTGGACACTGTCAATGGGAGGGTGAGTTACGCCACTTTCCTCCTCTCCTTTAGAAAGAGCAAGGGAATTAATCGGTAAAAATGCGGCTCTCGTGGACTTAGCCTTTGTGCTCAGCAACGGGCAGGGCCTGCTGCTTGATGCCGCTCCCCATGGACACTCCGGTCCTCCTTAGGCACACCTTGAAGCAGGAAACAGGGCTCCCGTCCGTAAAGCCCTGCTGCCCTGGAGCCTGCCTGTGTTCTAGGTGCTATACTGGCCACATCTAGAGGGCAGGAGTAAGCAGGAAAGAGCCCTGCTGGAAGAACTGCAGTCAGGGGGCAACTTAGGGGGTGTGGAGGGCAAGTGAAGAGGCATTTAGGACCCAGGTCATCTGTCCTGTTTTGTTAATATCTTCCTCTCCCAGACACATGCATGCCCTGCAGTCTCCTGGTGCATACCTTCACCTTTTCATATGCTCCCCTCTTCCCCGATCCTCCTCCCCCTCTCCAGCTACACCCTCCTGCACCCACTCTCATGCACAGTCTCTCACACAGACACTCAAAGAAAAATTCTAATTTCAGAGCCCCAGCGCTGGTAAGTAGTCATTGTTGTACAATACAGAGATGTCTCATTTCACCCAAAATAGCCCAGAATGTTAGTTCTGGAAATATCCCTTGGCATCATCTATTCTCTTCCTTTCGTTTTATACATCAGAACACTGAAACACAAGGTGAAGTGGCTGAGAAACCACGCATGCCTAGAGACTTGTGTGTGCATGAAGTGGTTCAGCACACTGGGAGGTGAATTACTTTGTGGCTTGGGCAGCTTCTTTATTGTAGAGTTCATGGTGGATGTTCATCTTAAGAGTTCTGTTGTGATGTATTTAGGCCACTGTTTCTGCTGAGTGTTCAGGAGTCATCTGAATCTCACAGTTTTCTTGTGCATTTCCTTACACATTATCAGATGGTTCTTCCCGTCGATGAGAGCTTGACGGAGGCATTAGGAATCCGATCCAAATATGCTTCGTTGCGAAAGGACACTTTGCTGAAATCGGGTAAACAGCTTCCTCCTTTGGTATTCTTGCCTCTCTTGTGAGTATCCACTTGGGCCCGCAGTCCCCTTTGCTCCCCACCTGCTGCGATTGTCCCCTCTCTGCTGCTTATCCTCGTGTTCTTTTTGCAGCATATAAAGAGTTACTACAAAAAACAATAATAATTTTCATTTAAAGAGGATTAAAAAATAAAAAAGAGTCAGTAATACTCCAAGGAAGTCATACTTCATCTCACTCTTTCCTGTTTCACATTGGGGTTGGTGACTGGCGACAGCCTCCCTGCCCCCAGCTGCTCACGCTTTAGAGTTAGTTACATGTTCTGGGACAGGAAGATTGCATGTTGCTGGGAAGAAGCGTTCAGACTTAGTCACTTGGTGGGTTTTTGGTGTAAGTGTTTTAATTCCCGTGAGATGAACAGTGAGAGGACTTGAGTTGTCACCATCCCCGAGGGCCAGGAGCGAAGAACCCACGAGGCAGGTCTGCAGCCAGTTCACATGCAGCCTGTCTCCCGTCATCCCACCCCAGTGTTCGGCGGCGCCATCTGCCGCATGTACCGGTTTCCAACCACCGATGGTAACCACCTGCGGATCCTGGAGCAGATGGCAGAGAGCGTGCTCTCCCTGCACGTGCCCCGGCAGTTCGTGAAGCTCCTACTAGAGGAAGATGCAGCCAGGTGAGGCCACACGGAAGGACTGACTGTCCATCATACCCATATCATGTGCCCCTTCCTTTCTGAGATATAGTGGGCAGAGCACGGGCATCAGATAGACCAGACTGCAGACACAGCCTCTCCCCTGCAGCTCTGTGGCCTTGGCTTGCCTAAGCCTCAGTGTGCTCATTGGGATCATGGATTCCTGTGCAGGGATTTTGTAAGACAGTGTGCTTGAACCCAGATGTGTGTCCTGCACTCAGAACCTCCTCCCTTCTCCTCTCCTCTTTTTTTTGAAACAGAGTCTTGCTCTGTTGCTCAGGCTGGAGTGCAGTGGTGCAATCTCAGCTCAACGCAGCCCCCGTCTCCCAGGTTCAAGTAATTCTGCTGCCTCAGCCTCTGAAGTAGCTGGGATTACAGGTGTGCGCCACCAGGACTGGCTAATTTTTGTATTTTTAGTAGAGATGGCGTTTCACCATGTTGATTAGGCTGGTCTCGAACTACTGACCTCAGGTGATCCACCCACCTCTGCCTCTACAGGTGTGAGCCACCATGCCTGGCCTGCCTTCTCTTCTTTTCTTTCCCCTCTCACTAGTCCTTCAGAAAGTTAGAAATAACTGGTAATTGTTTGATCCTAGCTGCCCAGCAGTAGTTTTCTAGGTTAGGGTCATAGATAAGGGCTCCAGAAGACTGAGTATGACCTGTCAGCTCACTGTGGTCCCATAAGGGTCTTAACCCTTCTGCATCTCTCAACCCAGGGCATATTTTGTCAGCCCTAAGGTGAGGAGAAGCCCAACAGGTGGCCCAGGCCGTGCAGATTATGTCCCCTGTCTCTCTCTGTTTCAGTTTTGTGCTGCTGTAACAGAATGCCAGAGACTGAGTAATTTATAATGATCAGAAAAGTGTTTGACTCATGGTTCTGGAAACTGGGAAGTCCAAAAGCATGGTGCTGGCATCTGGTGAGGGCCTTCATGCTGTATCATCCTGTGGTAGAAGGCATCACACAGCAAGAGCGCCCTTGAGAGAAGGCCAAACTTGCTTTTATGACAAACCCACTGTTGCAATAACCAACCCATTCCCACCATAATGACATCAATCCATTCATGCGGGCAGAGCCCTCAGGCCACATCATCTCTTAAAGGTCCTACTTCTCAAAACTGTGGCATTCAGGATAAAGTTTCCAACATAGGAACTTTGGGGGATAGTCTCAGACTGTCATTTCTCCTCCTTGTCCTCAAATGATGTTGATTATAAACACAATATAACAGAAGCATGAAAGAAAGCAAGGTTGCCAGAATCCTGCTGTTTTCAAAGAGCTATTTTGTTTACATTTTTTATCTGGAAAAAACATCACACTTAAAGATGAAGGGCAAGAATAATGCAATGAGCACCTAGATACCTTTCACCTAGAATCACCAATTGTTAATATTTTGCCAATTGCTTTCTCCATGTATGCACATATTTTAGTAATTTTAATTTTACAAATTTTCATTAAGCTTTGTCCATATTTTTGTGTATTTACATAGTGACAGTCTATTTTTCCATGTATTTTTGGTTTTTATGTTTAAATTTCCCATTACATGGTGTATTATAACTTTAAAGAGTTTATTCATTTTTTATTTGAGACAGGGTTTTGCTCTGTTACCCAGGCTGGAGTGCAGTGGCGCCATCAGAACTCACTGCAGCCTGAAACTCCTGGGCTCAAGCCATCCTCTTACCTCAGCCTCCTGGACAGATAGAACTACAAGCACACACCACTATGTCCAGCTAATTTTTTCATCTGTTGTAGAGACAGGGTCTTGCTATGTTGCCTAGGCTGGTCCCCAACTCCTGGCCTCAAGCACTCCTCCCACCTTGGCCTCCTGAAAAGCTGAGATTCCAGGCATGACCCACCATTCCTGGCCAAGAGTTCATTCATTTAACAAGTGCTTTAGTTCAAGGGTTTTGTTGTCGTTTTCAGCAACAACCACATGTCAGGCACTGTTCTCGGTGTGGGAGGCTTCTTGGTGAGCTCAGTGTGGGGGTTGGTTGGAAGCAGAACTGGGAACCTCACACAGGAACTCCAGATGTGTCCGCGTGTGCTGGGAATGAAAAGGGAACTGTGAGAAGAAAGAGGGTGCTCAGGGCAGGCCTCTGTGGGATGATGACGTTAAACTAACACCTAAAGCCTAGGAAGCAGTCACATGAACACGGCAGACACATTCCAGAGACAGAAACTAGCAGTGGCCTGGCAGACAGAGCGGCTGTGCTCAGAGCGGCCTGAGGTCATGGGGCGGCTGGCCATGTAGCCCTACCTGCTCTGGGTGTCCTTTTACATTAATTTTGCTATTTTAATAAGAATAAAATGGCACAGCTTTTAAAAACAATTTAGACAAGTCAGATTTCCTAAGACCTTATATAAAATTTAGCTTTTTTTCTTTCTCAAAGGAAAACATGAGTGCAGTATAAAAAAAAACAAATAGCGCAGAAAGGTTTTAACTAAAAACAACTCTTGGGGCTCTACTTTCTGATCTGCTTCCCAGAAACAATCACTTTTTTAGAGTTTTAGTGTTTACTGATGTATTTCTAAATATATGTGTAAAGTGTTCTCTTCATTAATCAATTTCAGGGATTAGCTACCGATTTTCTATGCTGAGGGTTTGGCCTTTTATACCTTCCCAGTCCCCATTTTCCTAATTTGGTTATCGTTTTTGTTTTTAAATCCATCTTGTGATTTTGCTGTTATGATTGTGTAGCTGTTCTTCATTGCTGAGCTAAGGAATTTATATTTCAGTTCTTATACAGCTTTTATTTTTTTGGAGATGACAATTCCTCTTTTTCTTCTCTCCTCCCTCCTCTTCCCCCTTCCCCCTTCTGTTACCCTGTGCCTCTGTCGAGCACACACATAAAGACAAGATCTGGCCTGATTTCATCCACAGTGACACAGCGGGCCACTTTTAGGTTCAGACGGCTCCTCTCTCACATAGACACAGAAGGAAGAATAGCCAGAGGTCCCAGCTCCCATGGTCCTCGTCCCATACCCAGAAAGGATGGCAGTGAGACAGAAGGGCTTGTGACGGCAGTGCAATCTGTGGAACTCCGCTGCTGAGGAGCCAACTCTAGGCTGCAGCTGAGCAGTTTTAGATTCTGCAGCTCCCTTATCAGGGGGAGGGCAGAAGGCCCACACCTTAGGAGAACCTGGGAGGCGATGAGAAACGCCGTCCTGATAGCCTCCTAGGGGAGATGATGAGACAAGCAGGAGATGGCTCGGGACGGTTACTCACTGCCTGCAGTCCTCTCTGTTCCGGGAGGATCACACGTGGTTTTGTCCAGACTCAGGTGGGCTGTGGTTTGAGCCTGTGCCTGAGGGTACCTGCAGGTCATCAAGGTAAAGCGTCTCCCCAGCAGCCCTGCCTCCTTCTCCCCACCTGCACTTAGTTTCCCTTGAACATTTGACTAAGTTCCCGTGAAAAGCTACTCTGGATACATTCCCGTGTGGTCAGTGGTCTGCCTTTCATGTAGCTAGTTGCCCTTTGGATAGGTAGTGTAACCATTGTCCTGGCCCGCCCTGGGCATCCGTGATTCTTGCCCTGCAAATGCTGTTGTCCTGGGTAGGCCTCCTGGGCCTCTCTGGGGAAACCAGTTAGCCCGCAGCCTGATGCATCTGTGTCTTGCTTTCAGAGTGTGTGAGCTGGAGGAGCTGGGAGAGCTGTCCCCTTGCTGGGAGAGCCTCCGGCGTCAAATTGTCACCCAGTACCAGACCATCATCCTCACATACCAGGAGAACCTGACCGACCTCCATCAGTACAAAGGTGGGCGCACCCCCATGCTGTCCCCACACACACACAGGCACACACACACACTCTCACTCACTGTCACTCACCCTGCTTTCCCAGCCAGAGATCTGGAAGACAGGGCCACTTACACATTCCCACTGACAGACCCTTTAATGGATTTTTAAAAATAACTTCTCATGTAGGTGTGAATTCTTTCAAATATGGGTTTTTCAGATCTTAATTAAAAAGACCAATCTGTGAATTGCAGTGAAGAGTCCTCCTATGGTGTCATCTACCAAAACAGTCACTGTGGAATGAAATTTAGGGGAGGCGAAATCTCGGGCTATTACTGGTTCATGTTATTTCTTCATCTTGGACTAATGTCAGTACAGTGACCGAAAGGATGTAGGTCACTCGCCTGGAAACAAAGCAGGTTTTCTTGATTTCGCGATTTAAAGAGTCAGGGGTAACTTCTGTTAAACATATAAATTGTTAAGGGGGAACTCTGTATTTTAAGGCACAGAAAGCAAAGTGGAGTGTGAATGAACACCTCACTGTTTCTCCTTGAAAGATGCCATTTGATTTTCAAAACACTCTCAGGGCAGATTTAGAAATCTGTTCTTGCACCTTTTTTATTCCAAGTGGAATGAATTTTTTGGTTTTTCATTACTCTATGTATTACTTTAGCATTTTGAAGTATTCTGTATTTTTAGATTCTTCCCTTTGATTCCTCTACATAATGGAATTTCAGGGTTTAAGGAAAACCATAAGCCCTTAATGTGGTTTTGACACAGAACCTATGAACCCGTCCGTAAACTTGGATGAGAAGAAGCCAAATGCAGAACTGACAAGGAGGTGTTGCTTAGGCTTGGCGTGAGTCTGAAGAGAGGGTCTGAGTATGTCACCAGGAGAAACGGCAGCATTTGCCCAGGAAGGAACCGAGGGACTCACCCATGCCTGCTGCCTCTTACCTGGGAAAGTGTGAAACCCACCCAGCCTTGAGTATTCTAGAGCAGAGCTTCTCAAATGTCAGTGTGCACCCGGATTCCTTGAGAACTGTGTTGAAGTGGCGGTCCGGGATTGTGCCTTTCTCATAGGCTCTCGGACGCTCATGCCGCGGTCTGTGGACTGCACCCTAAGTATCAGTCCTTAGAGAGCCATCTCCTGTGGCAAACTGGGGGCACACAGTGGCTGGTCTGCGATTCGTATGCTGGCAGTATCAGTTGATATTTTTCATTAGATGAAACGTTTTTTTCTTCTACTCTTGTGGTTGTCAGTTTAATTTGCAATCCTTTTATTTTGTAGGCATGTGATTCTCTAATTAGTTACGGATTCTGATCATAGAAACAAGATTGTGGATATTTGTTATAAAATAGTGTCCAGGCTCCTTAACCAACAGACGTGAACAGGGAAACATCGAAGTTCATGTGTCAGAAGGCTGGAATCAATGCTGTATTGCATTTGCTCATCTTGATGGGCCTGAAGGGTTGAGAAGGCCTCTTCATCGCCTTCGAGAGTTGAGATGTATTGCTCTAGCCAAACCAAATTCTTAGCTGTTTGATGATGGCGGTCTCTGGAGTCAGAACAGGCAGTCTCTGGCATGGACCCCTTTGCTTATTCCAGTAGTGCTGACATCGTGCTGCACAGAATGACATTTTTTGTATCAGATCTCTCAGTAGAGAGCTGGGTCTTGGAAGACGCAGCATCGTTACCATAGCTTTTTGAAGCCAGTTCTCCCTGGCGCCATTCATTCCCTGAGCACCCAGAACCAGCTCTCCCGACCAGCGGGCTGCCCTTGGCGTCTCACCCACCTGCCACCTGCAAATGAAATGTGCTCATGGCAACTCAGAACCTTCTAGGCCACTGCTGACACATACCTGCGTATATGCCACAGCATCCTCTGAATTCCATGTTCTACTTGCAGCTCGTGAACGCAGCATGCGTGCTGATGGCCTTTATCTTCTCCTGTTCCATTTCTTAGGGCCCTCGTTTAAAGCAAGCAGTTTGAAAGCAGATAAAAAGTTAGAATTTGTTCCCACAAACTTGCACATACAAAGGATGAGAGTTCAAGACGATGGAGGATCAGGTACCTATTTTTCTGCCCCCTCTCGTTGAATCACATTTTGCTGCTTTTCTCTCTAGGTACTTGGTCCCTGAGTGCCCCACATCTGCCCATTTCCCTGTGTGCTCTGGGCGGCTGGGAGGAGAGATTTGTCACAAAGACCTTCAGAAGGTCTCTGTTAAGAGCCCACACCCCTTCCTTTTGTCTCTCCTCGCTCTAGCTTCCCTTTGTATTTCTGCAGTAGAAAGTTGCCTGTAGGCCATTCTTCCCAAGGAGGGATGCAAACAGGAGTTACAGGGTGGCTTTCTGCAGCCCGTGTGGCTCCACTTGAAATGTTTGGAACCCCTTTTTGCTGAGGTGATGGCACTGGGCTCCAGGAGACCCTTGGGCGGCCAGGGCTGTGGGAGGGAGGGTCAGGACCCCAGACTTGTGTGCATATCCCTATAGCTGGCTTGTCCACAGGCCTGAGCCCAGAGTAATGGAGGAGAGCTTTCTGTCATTCAGATCAGAACTACGATATCGTCACCATCGGGGCGCCAGCAGCACACTGCCAAGGTTTTAAGTCAGGAGGTCTCCGCAAAAAGCTGCACAAATTTGAAGAGACCAAGAAACAGTAAGTAGCCAGAGAGAGCTTGTGGTCCTTGTACAGTTTTCTGATGCTTCTTTTCTCCGTTTAAAATAAAATCAAAGTATGACCACAAGAACATCCAGCCATCTGATCTGCCTCTGCGTGGCGGGAGGATCTGCCTCATGGAGCCTGTGCTGCTCTGTTGGCGTGTGACTGAGCTGGGTGGGTGATGAGGGCACTGGATCGATGGTCCTGTCCTGCAAAATGAGGAGCAGATTGTGATCCCACCTCAGAAGTGGTGCTCCAGGCAGCCACCCTGTGCGGACTCTGCTGGCTCGGCATCCTTTAGAGTCCCTGGCCAGTCAGTTGAGCACCACGGGCACTGAGCCTGGAGCACGCTGTTTCCTAGAGTGCAGCAGGGGTAAACATTCCCAGTTTCTGAAAGATTTGGGGGGCCGTACAGAGCTCCTGTCCTGAGCAGGAAATTTCCAGGTAGGGCGGGTGGTGAAGGGCATGTGAGGCAAAGACGTGGCAGAAGCAGTGCACGTGGCGAAATGTGGCCGGGTGCGCGGTGCCGGCGGCGGAGAGCTAAGAGGGCTGGCCTTGCTGCCAGCCTGCTCTGTGACCAGAGGTACAGTGCCCAGCAGATCTAGGCTTGGTTCCAGGAGCTCAGGGCCTTGCCTGGGAGTAGATAAGTCAGCAAGCGCCATTTGGCGTGACCAATGCCCGAAACAAGCATGCTGTTTCGGGTGCATGGAGCAGGGCATCCACCCAGCCCCCAGGGGTGGGAGGGAGAGAGCCAGAAATAAACCCAAGCTGTTGTGTTAGCTGTGCGGGAGGCATTGATGATCTTCCAGAACGTCACCTGTGAAGATTTCAGCAGCTCAGGAAGTGGGGGTGATGAGTGTCGGTGACCAGTAAGGTCCTTGGACTGTGACGGTAAAATAGAGGAAGTAGCATGAGGTGTTTGGTTTAGGGAGAATAATTATGACTTAGCATGTGTTTGGGCTGATAGGGAAAGACAGAAGTGGATGAGGTAAGGTGAATGAGAAGAAAACAGTGTTGGAGCAGGGTTCTCACAGGATGGAAAGAGGCAGGAGCAGGCGTTCGTCAGAAGGGCCAGGAGAAGAGGGGGCGCTGCAGAGAGATGTTTGAGGTGGGAAGGAGCAAGCGGAGGCATCCATGAACAGCCCTGCAGCGTGTGGGCTGGGGAGGGTCGGACTCAGCAAGCGAGCATGGAACAGTGTGAGGGAAGGTGAGCAGAGGCCCAGGGAGCGTCACAAGAATCCCATGGATGGTCGGGTGAAGAACTCTGGCACAGGCCACGGAGCTGGTGGGTGGCACCTGACTGTGCTGCCGCGGCTGGGAGTCAGGACATGACCTGAGAAAACGGACTCTAGGCTGGAGCTGGAAGGAGCTAAAAGGTCAGATCCGTGGCTGAGGGGGTCAGGGAGGCAGCTAGGGGCATCACTGCTCAGGGGCAAGGCTGAGCAGGGAACGGAAGAGCGTGCCCTGTGAGAAGTCACGTTCAGATACATGCACAGGCTGCCTGGGCCAGCCCAGAGCCCAGTGAGTCCTGGAGACGGGAGGAGAAATAGGGAAGGGGAATTCAGGCCCCCAGACAACCTACTTGGCCTCGATTCATTCCCAAGGGTGCTTCCCTAAGACATACCAGGTAACTGGACCTGCCTTAGGATTCGCTGACTCCAGCGTCCCTTTGGGAAATAGGAAGAAGACGCAGCTTCCTGTGCCCACCGCAGCTCTGCACAGCCAGCCAGAAAGCGTGTCTGTCGCTCCATTGCATGTTGCCCTGTGGAGAGTGTGAGCGTGCAGCTTGAGACGGGGTGGGGCCTGAAGGAGAACGCGTAGTAACTCTGTGTGGCCAGTCGAGAAGGGGGCCTCCTGGGGGTCTTCATCCCAGGCGGCTTGGGGTGTTGATTCCTGATAACTCTGCATGTTAACTTTAGAATTTATTTCTCAAAATACCTCTTTAGTATTTTTCAAATAGATAAGTTTCAATTTAATTTCCTACTAATGCCATCAAGCCACTTATGGATACGGTATTCATGATCTGAACTTTCCTTCCAATGCAGAGGTAACTTGGCCTGAGGTGGGATATCTCCCTGGGGCTCGAGCACAGGGAGTGAGGCTGCCCTGAGGAATAAGCACGTCGGGCTCATAATTGTAGTCATCCCTGTAGTTGGGACCTCAACACATAATTTTAAGTATTTTGTCAAAAAATAAGTTGGCTTTTTAATTTTTTTGTTTTTGCATTTGGTATTTGCTAACAAACTGCTAATATTTCATTTTGGTTCTTTTCTTTAGCAGTTTTGAGGAGTGTTGGTGAGTTTTCTGTCTGTGGAGAGAGTGTCTGTTTGGGTCTCGTCCTCACGCAGAGAAAGCTTGTGCCATCCCCACCCCTCCTCGTGTGGGCTTCCCCCGTGGTGCTGCCATGGTTCCTAGTCACGCACCTCGTAGACAGTTCTCCCTTCCAACTGCAATGTTCTTTAATAATGAATAGCCAATCTTCAGTCTGCTGTTTTACCTTTCAAACTTGGCAGCCGCGTGTTGCCGTGCTCGCTCTGAGAAAGTTCCTCGTTCTGTTTCTCCCAGGAGGAGGAAGGGCCCAACCTGGGAAGCCTCTAGGTGCCGAGTTCTCGTGTCAGCCCCTGGGTGCAGCTGGGAACCCCTTTCTGTCTTAAACAGGAATCTTGTGGCTTTTCAGTTTTCACTTCACTATTACCCCTTGTACAAATGAAGCCAGCCTACCTCTTCATGATACTTATTAATTTATGCTGATTTTAACAACACTGTTACCAGGGTCAGTTTTACTTCTGGGGGTGGGTGCAAACCAAGATTTAATACAACTGAGTGGCTTTTGCCACCAGATAATTAGTTGACAGTTAGAATCCACAGTGTCTGCTGCCTGGGCTTCCCTCCTGCTGCCCCAGGCTCATAACAGAGGCTCTGCAGTGGTGCTTCATTCAGAGGCACCTGCAGCCCCTCAAGAAATGCTGCTGCCTCAGAGCCTGTGACCCATGGGGCTCAGGGGCTATGGCTGGGCCCTGCTGGAGGTGTCAGGCTCTGCTGGGGGCATCTGACAGCAGGGAGCACTGAGGACATTCCTCCATGTCCAGGCTGAGGCCTCTCAGCTTCCCCCTGGGGTCCTTTTCCCTGAGGGTACTTCAGGTGCAAGGTAGGGAGGAGGGCATCTAGGGACGGTCGCTGCTGCTCCCGCCTCCCTAACGGAGGAGACCCATGCTACTTCTGTGGAAGTGGCTCCCAGCCTCCCCTCCCTGCCTTTTCTCTACTGGGGCCTCTTTCAAGGCCTGATCTTTCCCATAGGGGACAAGTAAAGTACTTAGGGGTTGAGTCTAGGGGTGCAGGGGAAGAGGAATGGGAGGAGAGTGCCAAAGGCCCAGCTGCTACCAAGGCCTGCTCCTGGGTAAATCCCAACCCAGGTGTTTTGGGTTGAACCTTGTTCCTGGGGAACTTTCTGAGTTCCTGGGTTCCCTCTGAGGACCCTCCATTGCCCAGTCTGGGCCTGGTCACCCCTTTCCCCTCTGCCCCCTGCTCCCCGTATACAAGACTGTCCCCGAAGCGGGGAGGGGATGGAGTGGGGAGGGTTATAGGCAGAAGGAGTGTCCCTGCCTGGAGACTGTGAGGGGCTAAATCCCAGGCGGAGGGGACCCAGCCTCCCAATCCTCCTACCCTTGCAGAACCCAGCTCCATGGGGGCTCAGCCTCTGCAGAGGTGATCCTGCTCTTCTCATGTCCAGAGTGACTGTTGCTCAGCAGTTACCAGCAGTTCCTGGCCAGGGCCACAAGACTCCACCCTTACACTCTCATGGCATCTTCAGTTTAGCCCATGACCCCAGCTCTGGGTAGGTCCGGGTCTGGGGTGGGGTCCTAATGCAAAGTCCAAGGGCCATACCTAGGATACTGCCTCCTGGGGCTGCCCCTGGGCTTCATGTCTACACCTCCATCCTGCCGCCTTCATGTGGCCGCCTGGTTTTTAAAACTAGGTAGTTGAGCACACATGCTTCTATTTTCCTCATCATCCTAAACAGTACTTCTTTGAAATTTGCCTTTTCTTGCCTCTGCCATGTATATCCCGTGCATAAGTCCCAGGTACCATCGTTAAAACATGACTTGTGAGAACACAGGGCAAGTAGAGGGCAGTGCTTTTCTCTTGGCCTGGGCAGAGGGTATATATTTGTTGAAGGGCACACGGCCACCTCCTTGCACAGAAGTAGATCTGCATACAGCACATTTAATATATGTACTCTAAATATTGGGGGTCTGGGAAGAATCCATTTTTTTTCACCATTTTTGGAGTCAGGGTCTTGCTCTGTCCGCCAGGCTGGAGTGCACTGGCACCATCAAAACTCACTGCAGCCTCAAACTCCTGGGCTCAGTTGACTCTCCTGCCTCAGCCTCCTCAGTAGCCAGAACCACAAGCACAAACCACCATGCCTAACACATTTTTACATTTTTTTAAAAGATGGGGTCTCCCGATGTTGCCCAGGCTGGTCTTGAACTCCCGGGCTCAAGCAGTCCTCCCACCTTGGCCTACCAAAGTGCTAGGATTATAGGCCACCATGCTTGGCTGAATTGATTTTTTAACACCCTATTTTGAGATTGTGTTTTTAAGACGAAATGATCCTAGAAGGCAGCTATTCATTTGGAAGAGTGATTGCAGATTGGAAAGTAGTCGTGTGCACATCGTGCTGTGGAATGACTCCTGTTGTGCCCCGCGAGCTTGAGTGCGGTCTGCTGCATGAGCTTCTGGCACATCCACTGTTTTTTACTGTGGCGTGCGGGCTTGTGGTGGTGGTGTTTCTTTCTGGGGTGCTTTGGTTTTCGGTTTTTGCATGTTTGCCGCATAATCCAGCAAGGGAAGGGGTAGTGGTGGTTTCTTGATGACCCACTTTGGGACTTCCCTGGGAAGGGGCCAGTGGGAGAAGATTCTCAGCCCTGAGCAAGGTGACCGTCATCTCCAGGGGAAGTGATGGAGGATGTGGTGAGAGGTGCCCTCGCTCCTCCTCTTTCTCGCTGTTCCTCAGAATTCAAAGGGTCACTCTATATAGGGACCAGTCAGGACCCCTCATCCTATGTGTGAAGGGACACCAGTTCTACCCAGAGCTCACAATTTCAAATTTTAGGAGGAGACCCTCTGCACTGGTGGCTTGTACTTCTTCCTGCTTTCCTCACCTTCCTCAGATGGTCTGAAAAATAAATGTATAATATTGCATTGATTGGGATCCAGGCTAAGAGACACGCAATTCATCATCACCATGTAGTTGGACCCAACACGCTGGCCAGGCCCCTATAGCGGGGGGACATGAAGTTGGTCCTTCAGAGCCTCCTGATTGTGCTGGGAGGGGCCAGGCTGTAGGCTTGGCATCAGACCCCTAGACACACACACTGCTTGGTGGCGAAGAGGTGGGAAGGAGGGAGAGCCAGGGTTTCACAGCCACTGAGGAGTCCGGCTTTGCCTGTGGCTTGGCATGTTCTCCACTTTCTCTTCATTTGATGAAACATTAGTTCTCAAATTAGGGAAGTCCTGGAGTGAAGGAAAGGGAAAGGAAACCCAATTTTCTAGGGACTTGCTGGGGTCAGACATGAGAGGAAGGATGACTGTGGGTGTGTTCACAGGGAGCTTGAATTCCTGATTGGCCAAGTGAAAAAAAATAGGTTTTGGTTGCTTGGGGACAAAGTCCAACACCCACTGCAGTCTCTGCTACACTGTGATAACCTGACCCCTTCTTCTGTAGATGGTCTCCACGTCTCCACTGAAGTACTGCTTATAAGTTAATAGATGAGGTTGTGAGGTGAAAGATTATGATCATTTGGGTGATTACGGGATATGATTGTTCAATACCTGTTCACACATTTACATACACAAGTGAAAATACAGATACATGCAAATACAGATGAAAGACTGAGTCATAGTTTAATATTTCAAGCTTCTGCCATATAGACAGGAAGAATCCACTAAGATATACTTTGCTCATCAACAACTAGAGTAGCCTAGGAGAACAGCCCTGAGTCCCAGAACATCCCTGAGTCATTTTAGGGTTAATGTGACTGGGGCTGGGATGATGCTGTCGTCCTTTACAGATTCTGGAGAATCCCTTAGAATCTGTTCTTATCCTTTCCAGTACATCATCTGGCTGCCAGTCCATAATCTACATACCACAGGACGTCGTCAGAGCCAAGGAGATCATCGCCCAGATCAACACCCTGAAAACCCAAGTCAGCTACTATGCAGAGCGGCTGTCAAGGGCAGCCAAGGACAGGTCTGCCACTGGCCTTGAGAGGACACTCGCCATCTTGGCAGACAAGGTAGGAGGGCTGCCCTGCTGCATGTGGGCTGGGGAGTTTCCTTGGGTTTCTGGGGGCCGCCGGGCAGCCCAGGTGTGCCTAAGGTGGTCCACAAAGAGCGTGACATTGGGAAGACTTTGAAGGTCTACCTGAGGTCCATTTCCCACAGAAACCAGGGTGGTTTCGTGATTCGTCCGCAGAGCTGGACAGACAAAGGGCAGAGCCCAGGGCTCATGACTCTTAGGTGCAGCCTCAGGCATGTGTGCCCTTCAGTGAGTCCGTGGGGCTCATTTTGTTGAGGCTAATACAGTTCCACCTCTTTCTCAGTAACAGCCTAACCAGCACTTTTTTTTTTTTTTTTGCCACATTTCTATTGTAGTTGAATTTGAAAACAGAAACTGAGCTATTATACAGACATAAGATAAGAACAATATAATTTTATTGGCTTACATACAGTCAGTACACCAGCTTCTACTTAGCCATAACTTGATCCTGATTTAAAAATATGTAAGTATTAATCCCAACTGAGGAAGTGGCTATTATCAGACCCTTTTGATGGATGATGCTTTTCCCATCACTCAGTCTCCCTCTCAGTGCGCGCACACACACACACACACACACAGTCACACACAAACACACACAGATTCTGACTGCACCTCTGCACTCACGCTCACTGTGCTATTGAACTGCTTTTCCTGATCAGAATGTGTAATATCCTTCACGTGTGTTCACACAGCATAAAGAGTGTGAGGTAGGGATTAGATCCACTGGAAAAGAAAGATGTAGTTGTCAGCAGTAACATTATGAACCACAGAACCCGTGATGCGTGCAGAATTCTCCTAAACCAGACATGTTGTGCCAGGAGGCCAGCTACCCAGACCCAGAACTTGATGTATTAGATGCTGAGGAACGAAAGATAAGACTTCCACAATTGAACCAAAGTAAGACCTGACCCCTGGACACTTGTTCGCTGGAAGGTGGAGGACAGACCAGGAAGTCTGTCAAGGCTGGGGCAGTGGGCTGTCTCTGCAGGCCCCTCCCCTAGCAGTCACAGGTCAGAGGCAGGCAGGGATCAGAGAATGTCAGAGATTTCTCACCCTCTTTTCCTCTTGCTTGGTGGGAAATTCTTGTTAAGATTCAGCCCCAGCGGGCCACATGGCCGTCTTCGTATTCAGACATCTTGAGGGATGTAGCCCTTCAGTTGCTTTGCACTGTGGAGAAAGGCAGAGGGGTGCAGTACTGGGCTTTAAGCCCATTCTCCATTTCTCAGATAAGGCAGGGGCCTCCCCAACCCCTGGCCTGGACTCAGCAGCCTTGGTTTGTGTGCACCTGCAGACACGGCAGCTGGTCACGGTCTGCGACTGCAAGCTCCTGGCCAACTCCATCCATGGGCTGAACGCCGCGCGGCCTGACTACATTGCCTCCAAGGCTTCTCCCACTTCGACTGAGGAGGAGCAGGTGATGCTTAGAAATGACCAGGACACCCTCATGGCCCGGTGGACAGGGAGAAACAGCCGATCTTCCCTGCAGGTGGACTGGCACGAGGAGGAGTGGGTGAGTCTGCTGCCGTGGCTGTCACCCCACTGCTGGACTTGGGCCGAAAACCGCAAAGCCTGTTGCCAGTCTCTGTCCCTCCGAAGTGCCTCAAGGTTTGACTGCTGTGAACAAGCTCCAGGTTTCCTTCCTGGATGGCTCCTTGGCTCCTGATGCAGGGAGGGAGACTATTTTGGAAACCTGGTGTCCAGATAGGGGTAGAGCTGTGCTGGGGCCTGGGCCAGCCTCAGGCCTGGATGAAGAGGAAGAGAAGTGGGTTGTCCTCCCCTGTTGGAGGTCTCTCCTTCCCCTGCCGCCTGTGCCTTCTGTGGCCCTGGGATGCTTGAGACCAGTCAGGCCTCTCCTACTTCCTCAGTGCTCTGTTTGCTGTTAGATTTTCCAGGGCTATGTGTATGTGGGGATGTGGGAGCTCTGGTGCTGGGGCAAGTAGTTGTGGATTTTGGAGCGGCCGCCCTGACACTGCATCACATTATTGTTCCTCAGAGAATTGGCGCCGGGAGCAGGATCTGTGTTTCTTGAGGGAGTGACATATTGTACAACTTGTTTTTGCCATTGATTGAGACTACCGCTTAGAGGCATTGTTCTGCGAGCCCTGAACTATTAATCAGCAGCAAAGTAGCATCCTATATGCTGCGTGTGTTTCTGCACATCACTCCCAGACCTCCCTCACCTCCTCTATCCAAATTTCCGTTCCCTTCCATCCAAAGGAGACCTCCATCTTGTCTGTGTGTGACGGTTGTAGGAAGTCTGCAGTGGCAGGAGGAGGAGATGGGACAGTGCCCTGTGGCCCTTCAGGCAGCACTGGAGGGCCACCTGGCCCCCAGAAGAGTTACTAGCAAACCTCTCCCAAACTCTAAAAACAATGGCCACAGGAGATCGATGCATCATTGAAAAGCAAATGCAACTTTAATGGGGAATTAGGAATCATCTTTATATTTCTAAACTTCGAGGTAGTTTAACAAGTGTGGAAGCCCAGGGCAGGGGATCGGTGGAGGGCGATTTGGTTTGTGTTCTGTTTGTGTTTCTGTTCGGGAGAGCTGACCCACACGGGCCCCTTTGATTTGGAAGGAGAAAGTGTGGCTGAACGTGGACAAGAGCCTAGAATGCATCATTCAGCGTGTGGACAAGCTGCTGCAGAGGGAGCGGCTGCACGGCGAGGGCTGTGAGGACGTCTTCCCCTGTGCAGGCAGCTGCACCAGCAAGAAAGGTAACCCGGACAGCCACGCCTACTGGATCAGACCAGAAGACCCCTTCTGTGATGTCCCCTCCTCACCATGCCCCTCCACCATGCCCTCCGCTGCATGCCATCCTCATCTGACCACACGTGCGTATGCATCCATGCTTCCCACACGCTGCCTCCACTTCACCTTGTGTTGCTTCCGTTTGTCTGTGTCTCTGATCCATGCACTCCTCCCCCACGCAGACTGCAGGGAGGGCCGCCAGGTGGAGCGGGGGCATCCCAGTGCACGGAGCAGCGGGCGGTGAGAGCGGAGTCTCCGGTTGCCTTTCTATGTAACTGGAGCCCATGTGTGATTCTGCATCTCTGCCAGTCAGAATCTCAGGGTCCTCTTGGGATACACCATCATGGCTCTAAGGGTTGGCCTCCTGGGCTTTTCAGGTTTGTAAAGCAATCTGAGAACCTGAAGGAGGCCAGGATGCAGACGCCTTTCTGATGTGATTGTCTATGGCATTAGGAATTGGTTGAGTGAAAGGGGAAAGGGGAATTGTGCAGGGACACAGCTGGATGAGAGAAATTGGCAGGTCCAGTGGACACGTCTGAAAGCTGGTTGGCATTGGCTGGGCACTCTCTGACGCAGCAGAGGCATGTTGCCTTGGGGCTTGGTAACAGAGAGTGGGCCCCTGTTCCTGGGCTTCTTGTGGTCCGAGTCGGGTGGTTTGGCAGAACTCTTCATTGGCATGAAGCAGCACGCTTCACAACAGTCTCCTGTCCGCAGAGACAACGGCACGCCAGGACACTGTCCTGCAGAGAGCCTTAAAGCTGGGAAACGGTCCCTGCAACTGAGGTGCCTCCCGTCTTTTCCTGTAAGAGCCGGAGAGTTACAAGCTAGTTGGCTGAGACTTGCCCACAGACCTAGCTTCTGCCTCCTTTTTGTTCTCCTGTGGGAGTTTTAAGCCATAGTAGGAAAGGCCCAGATGTGCTGGGATTAGGCTTCCTGTGATGAGGGGTTTTATATTCTGAATTGGGGAACTTCCATTCAAGGTGTCAGCGTGCTTCTTGGTCAGAGCCTCTGGGCAAATCCCCCTTCGGGTTGTCAGACGCCCTTTGCCTCTTTACTCCGCCTGCAGTCTGTTTCCAGGGCACTGTCTCACTTGAGCCTCTGTCTCGACCGTTGTCCCGTCACCCATCTCTCCATCTCTGGGGGTTTATAGTTTCACTTCCCCACACCTGTGATTGGTTCATGGAACTGTTTTATCTTTATTCATGTTCTCTTTTTTATGTAAATCGTGTTCCTTTTGAAAACTTTCTGAAAGTTCATTGTTTATTTCTTTCCACTTTATTATCTTGTGATTTTAAATTTTTCTACAGATAAAGAAAAGAGTAATTTATTGGCTGTTTTAAATGTGGGAGCTAGTTTATTTCATCAGATGGGATTATATCCCTAACTTAAGTGTCATTTTTTTTCTAGGCACATCCTGTATTGTTTAAATATAGATACATTTTTATTCAGTTTTAAAGTTATTTAAATGAGCATTTATGCTATTTAGGGTTTGGCTTGCGTGTGCCATAAAAATCAGCTGTTATAATAATGGGAATGTGAAGCTTACTTACATTTGAGAGAGTCTAACTCTGCTGATCAGTACTCAAAGAAATGTATGAAACCATATGCCACCAAATTATCTGTGGATGGTCCTTAATTTAAACATTTTTAGCACAGCCAGGAAGCTGTTCAGTCCTCAGTGTAAGCAGGAGGATCAGAAAGAAGCAGTCTGTGAGGTATTTATTTCGGTGAGTCTTGTCCACAGTGCCACGGCTTGGCTCTGCGTGGCTTTTTATAGCATTCCAAGTTACTGGAGCCATTGTTTTGGCTTAATGAGCAGGTGTGTTCACACCAACATATTTATTATGTGAAAATGACTCTGTACTGCTCTGAAAGGCATCATCACTTTTCATTCCAGTGCTATACCCTGTCCTAGGTCCTTGGTTTTTATTTTTCACCAGGGAGCTGCCCTGCCTCAGAGCTGCCCTGCCCTGATCAGAGAGCCCTGTCTGGCAGGTGAGGGTCACCCAGGGCCAAGGCTTTGTGGGGGACCCACTGACAAGTATCTGCCAGCCAAAACCACAGAGGCTCCTCAAACTTCCCTTCTTCTCATCTCTCCAAAAGTCTCCCGTGCCCCTCCACCCCCACCTGCCAAGGTGTACCACTGTTGCCCCACTAGGATTTAGTGGCTTCCACTGCCTTCCTCCTGTACGCTCTGTCACTCTCCTCATACCCAAAGAGACCCTTACACCAAGTTTTTCTTAGTCTGGGGTCTGTGGGTACCCGCAGGTTCTTGTACCCCTGAGATTATGTGCTGGAATCTGTGTGTGTATAGAGAGGAAGTCCAGAGTGGTCATCTGTTCCCAACTGCATGACCCAAGGCAAGTTACAAACCATTATTCCAGGAGTACCAGGGAAGACCCCCTCTTTCTCCCCTTTGATTGAAAGATGAATTTAGCAAATCGGGTTTAATCCCTGATGCCTTCACAGCAACGGTCCCAACCCAGCTGTTGGGAAACAGGCTCCTAGACCTTCCTCCTCATTCATAAACTCAGAATCCTAGAAGATGGGTTATGGGGAGGCAAAAATCTGTATTTTTTCAAGGCCTCGCATAACCTGATGAGCAGATCAATATGTAAGAGCCACAGTTCCGAATCACTGTGGGTTTCTACCTTTGTTAGCAACATGGTCTCAGGGTATCTGGGTTAACGAAGAGGTTGAACTCTTCACCTTACAGATGCCTTTGTATTCTCTTTCCTCTTTGCCAGTTTGAAAAGTCACTTCCAAAGATGATGAGAGAGGAAGGATGCTTTGCCCTTCTTTACAACCTAGGTTATAAAATCCCCATCAAGCTGTTCTGGCTGTTCTTCGGGATCCGGGATCTGAGGCCACCTCATTTCCGCATCCTGAAGACATTCTTTGAACTGAAAAGCTCAGACATAAATTAACATAAATGTTTTCTCCCATGATTCCTTTTCAAACTCGTTTTCTCTCAGATGGTGCACCCAGTTAACTGGAAAGTTTAGTTTTTAAGGGAAATACGAAATTGAAATAAGGTTAAATGGAATCAAAATTGGTGTTCTTTAAGGACCTGAAGGGACATTCTAATTGGAGACTACCCCTAAATCACAAAACTTAGCATTTGGTTTAAATGTGGAAGATTGGCATCGTTTTTTTTTTTTTTTTTGGTATACTGGTTTCATTCCTGGATCTTAACACTTGGGATCTCAGCAGTCAATCCTGAGCCCAGGCTTCCCCGGTGAATCAGAGCAGTAGGCCTGACCGGGGAACACTCTGTGTGCTGGTCAGTCTCTCTCCTTACAAGTTGCTTCCAGATGCCGCAAGCCAACGCAGGGCTCCCCCACTACAATGTGATTTATGTGGGTGCTTTTTCCTGCGGCATTTATCACATTGTAATAAGCTAGATCGCACATCCCGAAGAGCATTTTATGTTGAAGCATTGGCAACATGAATGTTTAAGCCGGGGAATCTGTCATTGTTTACCACTGAGAGGGCTTGCTGCCGGAGTACTTTGGTGAGCCTTCTTGGGGAAGAGGCAGCCAGGCACCAAGACCTCTTCTCTGTTTGTTAGCCACGTTACTGCAAGCTGCTGACGCAGCTGCTCTGAGATTGAGTTGCTTGGTTTGAACTGTGTGCTGCTCCTTAATCATCCATGTCGCCCTCCATTTCTGTGCAGATTGCAGCCCCCCTCCTGAAGAGTCCAGCCCAGGTACGTGGTTTCCGTTCAAGGCTCCTGCTGACGCCCTCTTTCTTAATACTCAGGTAGTGTTTTGTAGCTAAATTACCAAAGATTGCCTTATGATCCCAGAGTCGGGAAAGTATTCCAGGACCTCCTTCGTTGTGAGGCATGAAACACTTTTCGCAGGTTTGATGAGGGACCAGCTGAGCGGAGGAAATTGTGACCTGAGGCAGACTACCACATGTCTTTGTTTTACTCTTACATTCTAAAGTCTTTTCAGATGAGCGCGTTGGGCTTCCTGACGTGGGTGACCTGAGGTAGGGAGGTACACATTTTGGACTCTCTGGGTACGGTTTTAGAATTCTTACCAGACATCGCTATGGGCCTCAGTTGGAGTTAGTGCCAGAAATGTAATCTCTTTGCTGCATTTGCATGTAGAAACCAATGTTTATGGTTCTAGTTCAGGGGTTGGCGAGCTACAGCACTGAGCTAAATCTTGTCCACAGCCTGCTCTTATAAATAATGTTTTGTTGGAAACCAACCTTGCCCACTTGTTCATGGATTGTCTACAGCTGCTTTTGTGCAGCAGTGCCAGAGATCATTGCAGCAGAGAACCCGTGGCCTTCAAAGCCTAAAATATTTACTGTCTAGCTCTTTACAAAAAATGTGTGCTCGGCCGGACACGGTGGCTCCCGCCTGTAATCCCAGCACTTTGGGAGGCCGAGGCGGGCGGATCACGAGGTCAGGAGATCGAGACCATCCTGGCTAACAATGTGAGACCTCGTCTCTACTAAAAATACAAAAAAGAAAGGAGCCGGGCGTGGTGGCAGGCACCTATAGTCCCAGCTACTCGGGAGGCTGAGGCAGGAGAATGGCATGAACCCGGGAGGCAGAGCTTGCAGTCAGCCGAGATCGCGCCACTGCACTCCAGCCTGGGTGACAGAGCAAGGCTCCATCTCAAAAAAAATAAAAAAAGAAAAAAAAGAAAAAGAAAATGTGTGCTGACCCCTGATCTAGTTCATATTGAGTTTCCTGGGTATTGCTTGTGGTTTTGAGCATGAGTCCCCCGAATAATAAATATGATTTGATGTTCTTTTTCTTACATTCCAAAAATCAGCTGCATGGTCAGTCTATCGCTTGCGTATTTCTGACTGGTTACACATGTAAGAGAGCAGGATACTTTGTTGATGTCTAGAATGTAATGAGTCCATGACTGTAGGATTTACCAGGCTAACGGCTATTCCTGCGCGTTGCTAGTGAAGCCTGTCCACCCATACAGCCCCGTGAGTCAGCGTAGTGTGGTGGCTCCTGGCAGCAACCCCAGGACGCTCTTAGAAGTTAGCCCGTCGGCGGGTTAATCTGATTGGACACCTCATAGGGACTCTCCCAGTTTGCTTTCAGCCCCTTCATAGTTTCTCTTTCCCCAAAAGTCAGTGTCACCTTGAGCAGGCCTTGGGCCCCACCCCCTTGGACCCCGAAGGTTACTGAGGCCTTGGTAGATGTACGAATAGTTGGCCTTGGTCTCCTCCTCCGTTTCCTCCCCTGGGCCCATGCCTCAGCTGACCTCCACGGCAGGCCAGTGCCTTCAGACCGAGCTGTCGCCTGAGCCTCAGTGGTGCTGAAGCCTGGGGCCATACCCAGCAGTTAGGGCCGGGAGAGGGCTGGTGGCATGTGCATCTGCTCCCACAGAAGCTCAGGGGTCTTCTCAATTCTGGGCTCCTGAGGGTTGCAGAACTAATGGGAAGTCTCGTGGGTCCCCAGGCAGCCCACGGACAATGCCTGGCCTGTAGAGCCCTCCTGGTTGTACGTCAGCTGGGACATTTCCAGAAGCACTGATGGCTTTTTCACAGTTGATGCTGATGGACTAAAATGGTCCCTGCAAGGAGTTCTTTTGGCTTTTCCTGGAGAACTGCATTTAATCTGGGCTAAAATATACACACTTACAAAGGCACACACACTCTCCCTTTCTCCCTCCCCTACTAATGAGGGGAAAATGCAGAAGCAAAGTCTGGATTTGAAAGTGCTCTTCAAAGTTACCTAAGTTAGTACGGCCCATGGATTCACTACCGGTCTGCAAACATTACGGGTTAGGAACTAGATAAGGAGCTTTCTACAAAAACACGGGTCGGCGACGTCACTCAGGACATTGTTTCATTGAGCTGATGTTTTTTCATAAGTCGGCTTTCTAGTGAAGGAAGCAGAGTATAAACCCTTCAGTGATCCCGGTGACCCAGGTGCCTTTACGTCACTAGATCCTGGGTAGAAATCATGTTACTGCCCAAGAAACTCATTTTGGTTGAAGTTTTTAAAAATTGTTCCAGACATGTCTGAGCCCTTCTCTGGGCAGATAACCACACTCACCTTCTACCAAGTTCCATATCTCCTCTTTTCCAGGACACACGTCTTAGTGCTTTTTAGCCATTTTTTCTATACTACAATTTTTTTTTTCCATTTTTTTCCTAATATAGCAAAGCAATCATTCTCACGGGAATTTAGTTTAAAGAGAAATAGGCAAAGTGAAAAAGTTGTAAGACCGGTTGTATATTTTGATCATTTTCAGAATAAAATAATCATGATTTTCACGATATGCATGATAGGTAGAAGAGCAAAGTAAAACTGGCAACATTTTCTTTAAGAGCATGTACTTCTTAGAGGAGGATAGTCTACTGCCTACCTTTCCCCAGACTGTTTGGCTAGAAAAGCCTGTTTGCCATTGGCATTTTTGATAGGCACTTCATGTAATCGGCACACATTCAACAGAATTCTTCAAAGAAACAAAAACATGGTCCCTGAGAACTTCAGTGGAGGAAAGAGACTCGGACATTATCTAGTGCCTCTCTCTCATTTTATGACAAAGGTCCCACATGGCTGAGGGGTCAAGGGCCTGGCCTGTGGTCACCTCTGCTCAGCAGTGGCCGGGGCCGGGACTCAACATTTTCCACCTCTCAGTTCAGTGTTCTTCGTCACTGTGGTTCCTTTGCTAAGACCTGTCTGCTGTGGACTTTCTAAATTTAAGCCTGCTTTTTCCGTTACAGATACAAATGCTGTCCACAAACGTTAGTGTGCCTGCATGTGCAATTAGGCCGCCTCCAACTTTTGAGCTGCTACAGATGCTTAAACATTTCCATTAACCAAACACTGAGTGTAGGGAATTCTTAGGCATGTTTCAGTATTTCTTTAGGTTGGTTTCTCAGTGACGTGCTAACCATCCAGCTTGAGAGGACAGGGCCAAGCCGCCCTTCTCTCAGTCTCTGAGTTTCTGTTTATCTGAGACAGAGGTTACCCTCTGGCAGCCGCACAGCTCCCACAGCCCAGGGCCTTCCCTGAGTGCTGTGTCGGGACATGGCCTGGTGCATTCTGTGGCTCGAACCCTCACCCTAAGGGGTGTGCACTGCCCGGGCTTCACTCCACAACTTCTCACCATGTTTGGTGTGGTGGATTCACCAAGTGGTGATGGCCAGATGCCTATTTCTGGTCTTAGTGACCTGTTACAAATAGAACCTTAATGAGGGCCTGTCTTCCCTTTTAAATGTCTTCTAAATAGGAAGGAAAAAAGGAGTCAAAACCCAAAATATCTTTCACCCTGTTTTTCTCCCTTGAGGTTCTGTTTTTAAAAAGTTGTTTTGGTACAGGGTCAAAGTTTCCGTATATTCCTAAAAGAAAACTGAGCTAGAAATAGTACCGGGGAAGGAAGGTGGGGGTGGGGAAGGAAGTGAGTGCAAGGTGGGGCCGTTCTGAGGGCTGAAAGCTCTGGAACTGTGAGGAATAGTCCCCCTCCAGGTGTGCAGGGTGAGAATTGAACACAGTTGCATACAAGGCTTGGCAAGGGCAGTGGAGTCTCTGACTTGACTTCATACCCAGGTCAAGAGAAGGGGGAGCACAGAGAACCTTTCTGGGGTCCTTCCTCTTCGCGTGGAGGTGCTACCGTGCGTGGAAGGAGATGAGCCCCTGCAGACAGAGCATTTTCTGGCCTCGTCATGACTTGCAGACGTTTCTTTGTTGTTCTACCCCAAAGGCGTTGTCTGAAGTATTTCTGTCTATGGTCCCCAACAGGTTCAGGAGACCAGGCATGTGTTGGAGGTACCGGAGTAGAACTGATGTCTGAGGTTGCTGGAAAGAGCTGGGGCTCGAGGGCTAAGGACTGGGTTGGTTCTAGACAGAACTAGAAGATGGGGTGGAGATGGGCGAGTGGGAGGGCTGCAGTGGTTAGGGGCCAGGTGACTTGTTAAATTGCCAGAACCTAATTCTTCAAATACCTCTCTCTCATTGTGATGACCCCCTCGCTTATGCCGCAGGTGAATGGAGTGAGGCCCTTTACCCGCTGCTGACCACTCTCACCGACTGCGTGGCCATGATGAGTGACAAGGCCAAGAAGGCCATGGTATTCCTGCTCATGCAGGACAGCGCGCCCACCATAGCCACCTACCTGAGCCTGCAGTACCGCCGTGACGTGGTCTTCTGCCAGACGGTAGGCCCCGGGAGCACCCCGAGGGAGGCAGCGGGCACCTCCCAGCTCGGCAAAGACAGGCTTAGGAAGCCCTTGCCTCTCACTTCACTTGTAAAGTGAGCACCCTAACCCTAACCCTAACCCTAACTTTGCACCTGCAAAGTCTGCTGATTCTGCACCCAGGAGGTAGTGAGGGCGTGGGTGGCACAGGCCTTTTTGCTGTGTGTGTGTTTTTTTTTTTTTTTAGCTGCACAGGAGTTGAGTGAGGGCAACAACACAGGTATTTGCTGTCAGTGCAAACATTGCTGATATATAACAGTAGGTGCCTTAGGTCTGCGGCTTGTTGCAGGACTCTCTTATTGTTGAGAGAAGTGAAGCCTTGAAATGAATGTAACAAGTTTAATAGTTGCCAGTCACCAAATTAGTAAAGTGAACAGTGCTTTGGGGTTGGGCGGGTTCTCTCCGAGTTCCCTCACCCATCCTGGAGAGTCCTGTTTCATTCCACAGAAAATCTCCCACTGAGGAAACTTTGAGTGACCATGTTGTCTCTCACTTCTGTTTTTTGCTGGGGCTGAGTTTCCAGCCAGGGTGGCGTGGCTCTATGGGCAGATAGACCCTTTCACTATGAGTAATTAATTATGGGCTTCCAGAAGGTTCCAGCCTAGGAATAATGCCAGGTACAGATCAGGTCAGAAGCCGGGCCAAAACCAAACCTACGTTGTGAGTGACAGGAATAGCAAGCCCACTGTTGGGCGTCTTCCCATGGCCAGGGCGTGCCCCACCTGGGCTTCTCGAGGGACAGGAGGTGCCACTGAAGCCCCTTTGAGCAGTGGCAACAGGGGAAGGGGGCGGTGGGGGGCTGGGCATGATCTGACTGCCATTTGGTGGGCAGGCATGTGACCCTGAACCGCTTCACCCCACGCCCCCACAGCTGACTGCCCTCATCTGTGGCTTCATCATTAAGCTGAGGAACTGCCTGCATGACGACGGCTTCCTGCGCCAGCTCTACACCATCGGGCTGCTGGCCCAGTTCGAGAGCCTGCTGAGCACCTACGGTGAGGCACCCCGGGCCAGGATCGGGAGCCCTACTTGCGTGTGTGGTTTCCATCCTTTCTGGCTAGGTATTTTTCTCACTGTACCAGTAATGCGTGCTGATTAGAATAAATCCAAAATACATAACAGCAGACCAGATGGCAGTCCTGGCAGTTACACAGGCACACGCCTTGGTTTGTTGTTGTTTCTGGTTGAGGATGGATGTTCATCACTTAACCAGTAACTTCCTGTTGGCCTTCGGGTTGTTCCTGAAACACCAGTGCAGCAGTGGCCTCTGTGCACGAGGCACTTGTGGGCCTGTTTCTGCAGCTCCTGAATGACTAGAAGGAGAGTTACTGGGTCAGAGGGTAGGAATATTTTTAAATTTAATAGATATTTCCAAGTTGCTTTCCAAAAAGGCTCTCTTCTTCCTACCCTTGTTTATTATTTATTTCTTCTGAGAAGGTGATAGAAAGCATTTGTTAATCTTTGGAAACTGAGGACATCGAATAGATATCAAGCCCTGTGTAACGGGAGGGTCTGGCCTCAGCAAAGCTGCTTTAGCATCTCTCATTTCATGTTTCAAGAGCTGGCTTTGCTTTCTGAGTTTATGTATTTGTTTCCCTCCCTACTATCCTGCGCTTGCCCAAGAAAGAATGGGAAAGGATGGCACATGTTTCCACCGGCTGCATGTTCTGATGTGGCTGTGGGATTTCAGAGGCATTGTTGACTGACAGGAGTGGGGTGCAGGGGAAGAGGCTCAGAAACTCCCCCTCCCCCAGAGCCACACCTGCACCACTCCTGTCACAGCCAGGCCTGAGCTCGGCTGCCTTCTGCTGAGACTGGGGAGAGCAGCAGGGCCCGCTGCCTGACAGCCCCGCCCCTCTCTCGTGTCCAGGGGAGGAGCTGGCAATGCTGGAGGACATGAGCCTTGGGATCATGGACTTGAGGAACGTGACCTTCAAAGTCACTCAGGCCACTTCCAGCGCCTCCGCAGACATGCTGCCCGTCATCACAGGAAATCGGTAGAGTGTTGGTTTAAAATTCTCTGAGCCAGAGAGCAGTTTTCATATTTGTTTATTTCAGGGAATCTACTCTTCCTTCTGAATTTTTTATCCTATTTCATTTTGTTAAATGCTCTGATTACAGCCCCTAGGTTAGTACCACTCCCTTAAAGGTCTGTGGTTGGCCGTTTGGCCATCACTGAGCCAGAGGGCCAGCCTGGGCACTGCCGTCTGCTCGGTGGCCCTCTGGCCTCACACTGCTCTCCCTCTCTCCGCCTTTCTCCAGCGACGGGTTTAACGTGCGGGTCCCTCTGCCGGGTCCACTGTTTGACGCCCTGCCCCGGGAGATCCAGAGCGGCATGCTGCTGCGAGTGCAACCTGTCCTCTTCAACGTGGGCATCAATGAGCAGCAGACGCTGGCCGAGAGGTGCGTGCTGGCCCTTCGGGGCTGTGGGAGTGCGGCGGCCCTGGAGATGACACAGAAAACATACTTACCCCTCTTCAGGCTCCAAGTGCTGGACAGACGTCGTTATCCTTCCTTCCTTTGGCCAGCATTTTCATCATGGCCGTGCACCTCACTGTCTCTGGTGCTAGGGACACAGGGTGACCCAAAGGTGGTCTCTGTCCCCAGAGACTCAGCTGGTGGGAGAGAGAGGCATGGATGCAACGATGAAGACAGATACAGGGCATTGTGGGATCCCGAGTAGGGCACCCAGCAGTGTCTAAGGGGGTCTGTAGAGGCTTCTTGGAGTTGCAGGGGATGAGGCTTTGAAGTGTGAGTAGGAGTTGGATGATTAGGTGGAGGGGAGATGTGTCAGATTAAGAAGACTGAGGAAAGGCCTGGTGGGGAGAAACAGCATGGAGTTCAGGGGCAACAGGTTCCAGGCAGGGATTGGCAGGTAGGGGTAGACAGGCTCTGTGTGCCAGGCTGACACTTATGCCTGAGCCTAAAGGCTTACACCTTGTAAACTGCCCTCCAGGGTCACTTGCCACTCCGCGGAGGGGAGTTGTGTGTGCCCGTGTGTGCACGTGTGCCTATGTGTGCACGTGTGTGAGGAGATAGGGTAGATGGGGTATATGTACCCTGTACTGGCCTTCCACTACATGAGAATGAGTCCTGTGTTGTCATTGATCTTCAAGTGATGTGTGTAGATTAGTCTAAACAGATATCTTCAGGTACTTGCTGTGAAGGAAATTTGGTTTCCAGAACAAAATGCCATGTTCCTACTGGGCCTTCTGATGTCCAGCCCCAGTGGTTGATGTCCATTGACGCCCAGGTGTAGGTCACCCCAACTTAGGAAATATGGTGTTGTTGCTGGGAGACAATGAAGAACTTTCAGTGGGCCAGGACACAATCCGATTTACATTTCAAGTAGGTTGTTTCACTGGCACGTGCTGGGAGGAGATGAAGGGGACAAGTGTGAGGAGGAAGCTGCTGGGAGGAGTCCAGGCCAGAGGTGGGAACCTGGATCAGGGCCGGGGGAGTGTTGGTGTTCTGCAGACGGGTAGGCTGGGGAACTGTTTAAGTGGTCAGTGGAAGGGTTTAGTCTTTAGTGGGGCTGGGGCTGAGTGGGAGGAGAGTACACCAGACAGACCCACCCACTGAGCTCATAAACTGGCAGGAGAGTCGTGTCCAGAGGCAGGTGGTGAGCTGGGTTTGGGCTGAGGGCACCAGCCCAGGAAGCAAAGCCCCAAAGGTGTGAGCAGAGCTGGAGGTGCCTATTGCCAGGGAGAGGCGCAGCCTCACTGGAGCCCCAGCAGGGAGGTGGCCCAGGGAAGGGAGAATGATGGTGCTTGCATCCAGTAGCTGCGGATCCCACGGACTTGCAGGAGCAGTTTCTGGAGAGGACTGAGCCAGGGCCAGGTGCATTGAGTAGAGGGGAGGGTGGAGGATGCAACACTGAGGACAGAGAGGACTTGGGAAGGGCAGGTTCTTGGCTTTGTTCCTTTATTGGCCCTGCGGTCACTGTGAGCTGGGCTTGTTTATAAGCTGAGGGGAGAGCCCTCAGAGGGGAGGCCACAGGCCCAGGGATGGCCCCCAAGGGAGCAGGTGCCTAGAGAAAAGGCCATTGTGGGCACCAGGGGTGGATGGGCTGGGACTCGTAGGAGGGAGTCCTGCCCTCTGAGGGATGCTCTAGGGCCGCAAAGAAACTGATACTCAGAAGGACCCTCAGCAGGGACTTGTGAGACTGCACTGGGGCCCAGGACCTGGACTTCAGAGCCTGCATTTTCTAATGACCACCTTGTGCCTTCTTTGCAGGTGGCATTTTATGGCCTTGTTTCTTAGGCATTTGGCACATGCTCCTTGCAGCACACGGAGTGTAATTGGGGTGAACCTGCACGATGAGGAAAGGGCAAGGGCTTCATGGTCAGTCCTGGAGGAGCTGGCAGTCAGGCGTGTGCATTCTGCACACAGAGAGTGACTTCAGGTTGGAGTACAGGGCTGCAGCCTCACCTCCCAGCCGTACCTCACTGCCGTCCCCCCCTCCGAAGTGCCTCAGGTGTGCTGCACAGGGCCTGTACCAGATCATGTTCTGATCATCTCTCGGCACGCCTGTAACAGTGATACATGATTCCTGCCAATGGAATGCATTTAAACTGACCGGCACCGCTGAAGAGATGCCTTTATGCTCGGAAGAAGGAAAGTGGCTTAGAATTTAGATATGCATAGGAACTGTTTGAGAGAATCAACATAGTTAGCTTCCATGCAGTTGTGTTCGTGTTGGAAGAAAGTGACGTTACCCAACTAATGGCATCCCCTGTAATCTCCCAAGGTTTGGCGATACGTCTTTACAAGAAGTCATCAACGTGGAGAGTTTGGTGCGGTTAAATTCCTACTTTGAGCAGTTTAAGGAAGTTTTGCCTGAGGATTGTAAGTATTTCTTCAGTCACGGTAGGTTTCACTTACTCGTCTTTTTATCAGTTTAGATGTCTGAGCTCTGGCTTGCCCTGCCTCTATTAGTTCATGTTCCTTCTCTCCCTCTCTCCCTAAACACACACATGCAGAGAGAGAGAGAGAGAGAGAGAGAGAAGCTTCCCTTGGCCGCGGCCCTCATCCATCTCTTTGCTGTTGATTCTCTACTAGCCTGTGAGACATGGCTCCTTCCCACGCTGTCGTAGTCACTGACACTCGATGCGTTTGGTGGCACGCATTGTGTACCTGCTGGTAGGGCTTGGGAGAATCCCAGAGGCAGGACCCACCCTCGGCCAGGTGAGCGGCCCACACACCTCCCTTTGTGGTGCTTAGAGAGGAAGATGCGGGGCCAACATTGCTGGGTGTTTGGGAGCAAGATGGCCCCATCTCGGCGTGCCGTGGAGGTGCTGACAGTCATCTCTCTGCGTGCCCTCCAGTGAAGATGCTGCAGCTAGGGCTCTGCAGCCACAGAACTCAGGGAGGAACCGAGGGCTGCACAGCACTGCCTACAAGTAGAATTCCCTCTTGAGTTCAACCCAGTGAATATTCCCTGGGGACCTGCTGAGTGTAAAGTGCTAGAGGATCCGATGGCAAATGAGAGGTGGACCCTGCCTTGGAAGGAGAGCTGGTCCCAGAGTGCCGGCCTCTCTGCAGGCACTGCCACAGTCACTGGGGGGCGCCACGCGGCCGAAGGCGTCATCCCCACTGCGTTACACGAATGTCCTCTGCTGGGGGTTTCCAAAGAGGGAACCCACGTCGGCTGGGCTTTAAATTGGGCAGGCTTCATCTGCATCCTGTTGGACGGTACAGTAGACCTCAGAGTTTAGAGATAGTAAAACAGTACTGCTGGTGAACCTTCACAGGTCACGGATGCGCCAGCCACTGGGCTGGGCTCTACATACATTTCCACGCTGAATCCACAACAGCCCATGGGTCGGTAATAGGATCCATGTCCAGATGAAGAAAGGGGCGCCTGGCTCTGAAGCCCACGTGCTTGGATTGTGGCCGAAGCCGTCCTGCTAGGAGACACTGATGCAGAACACTCGGGGCCAGGCCAGGAAGTTGTGGCTTCAGTGGTGTTCAGCAGGGAAGCAGCGGAAAAAAAAGCTGCCTCTTCACAGGTTCTTCTAGCAAGAGTGTGTGGCGGGGCCGGAAGAGGGGAGGCAAGCCGCTGATGGCCAGAGTGAGGCTGTGAACTTCAGATGACACTTCAGATGAGGTGTTGCTTCACTCTGACCGCAGCCGGGTAGTGACAGTGAGCGTGGAGAGAGGGATAAGGTATTAGGAGGGTCTGGGCTGAGGATGCGCTCGTAAGCGGCCACGTGCAGCTGGCGCTGGGGAGGTGAGGGCTGTGCCTGCCGGGAGAGCTGACAGACCTGGCACTGGGCAAGGACGCTGGAGTTGGCAGCAACAGCAGGGGCTGCCCCGCCGATGAGAGAGGCACAGGGCTGCAGGGGAGAGCGAGCGCAGCACTGGCCCAGCTGAGCTGATGACGTGGGCAAGTGATCTGTGGGGAGTGCAGATGTGGAGCCACAGAGCGGAGCCCTTTTGTGGTTGAGGCCACTGAGTGGCAAGACAAGAAGGGGCTAGAACAGCATCTGGAGGGGCCCCTGCCCCCAGGGGGACAGCAGGGAAGAAGGGACTCAACAGAAGGCCAGAGGGAGCATCACAGGCTAGCAGGAAGAAGACAGGAGCCAGGAGGGTGTGGGGCGCTGCTGGACTCCGGATGTGTGGACAAGGAGCCGCCGGTGATCTCTCCCAGACAGTCTCACTGTGGCGAGGGCTGGGCCAGGGATCAAGGGGTGACAAAATGGTGCTGCCTTGGAAGGGTCCACTTTGTCCCGAAGACTGTCAGCGACTTGAGGGATGGGGCTGTGGGCAGGTGGGACACACCCTGGAGCTGCAGGGGCCATGGGAGTGCTCAGAGGCCTGAGGAAGGAGAACACACAGGGCTGGAAGATGCAAGAGGACTGCAGAGTCCCAGGCGAGGCCCTGGAGCGGGCAGGCGGAGGGTGCCCTTGCAGGGAGGGAAGGAGGGAGGAGAGAAGGTAGGGACACAAATGGAGGAAGTTAGCTCAGGCTGGGCGGCCTCAGTCTCCCCAGTAAAACAGGTGTTCTTGTCCAACTCAACATAAGAGAGGTGAGCACAGAACTGGGGCCTTGAGGAGAGTGGAGGTGACTGGCACAGATGCCATTGGAGCCAGAGAGCCTGGAAAAATACAGATGCCCGGGCCCCACCCCAGAGTGTGGTAAGTGGGCAGGGCCTGGGCATTAGGGTTTCAGAAACTCCCCAGGTGGTCCCTGTGTGCCACAGCCAGGGTGGTAAATATAACATGAAGTCAAGGTCCTTCAAGGATTTGGCAGCTGAAGGCCATCAGTGCCGTGGGCGTGGGAGCTGTTAGAAGGCGTCCTCATGCTCTTTAGCAGGGGTTGGAGTTCAGACAGCAGATTTATCACACACTCGCCACAAGCTGGGCCCCCTGTTACCCACTTTATGTGGATTCTCTAGTCTGATCCCCACAGCAGCCCTGGGAAATGGGCACCGGTTTCACACCCACTTGGCAGATGAGGAAACTGAGGCATGGAGAGCGAGTCTCCCCAGGAGCTGGGCCAAGCCCAGGCAGCGTTTTCTGACTGCTGTAGGGGAGAGGATGGGCCCACCCGCAGGGCCAGCCAGGGAGCCATGAAGGTGAGCAGGGAGGGAGCAGGGGCGCGCTGAGGCCGGGAGGAGCGGGAGTGCTGAGCGGCTGCAGTAAGTAGGAAGCGGGAATTTGTTCCTAGCGCCCAGTCCCCAGGGCTCCGGGAGCCGTTACCATAGGCAGTGAAGGCCCAGGGTGAGCGAGGCCTCTGGAAGCCGAGCAGCCAGGCTGGACCACGCAGGCAGGAAGGAGCCGACTGGACCGTGACCCAGGAAGCTGGGGCAGATGCGGCCCAGGTACCCCTCCCCGCAGGAGGATGGCTGGTCTCTGAGGCTGAGGAGATGGAGCCCACCAGTTGAATATCCCCAAACTTTGCGTGATTCCTCAGTGGACAGGTATTCATTAAAGTAGGGGCTGCAGGGGCAGCCAGCGAGAAGCCAAAGTGCATCCTGGGAGGTGAGATGGTGCTGTCTACGCTGGGGGCATATATCCTGACCCGGCTAAGCTCCCCTCCTCTGGGCTCCCACAGCTTCCATCTCAGCTGATGCCAGCTTTCCATCTCTGTCTCTGGACTGTCCCCTGACCGACGTGGTGCGGAGCGCTCAGCAGCAACGTGAAGTAATTAGCACAGAACCTGTGTACACCAGGGCAAGGCTGTGTGGTGGAAACCAGGTGTGCAGTTAGATCCCAGATGCTGCCATGTACTTGGTTTGGCTTTGGGGATTCCGGCGCTGTGTCTGTTTTCTTCAGCCATGACCTTGAGGCTCTTCTCTTTGTCTTTAATAATCCCAGTGTGTGAAAATTCCAGAGTACCTTTTGGGAGTGGCTGATGTGTTCCTCAGTTTTGTCTGGGGTTTCTTGGTAAGGTGACCTGATGGATCTTCAGGCCCAAGGGGTCCTGGAAGGACCTGGAGATTGCCAGAGTGGAGGAGGAGCTGTCAGGATGTGGCAGCAGGGGCCTCCCTGGGTCCTGCAGAGGTGTGTGCTCCTGGCAGGGGCCAAGGGACCCCTGGGGGGGGGCGCTATGCTTTCCTGATCCCTCCCCAGGTTTCCAGGCCTGCTCAGTGGCCCAGACCCACTGCCCCAGTTTCTTCCACCCTGGGGAAGGTTTGAAGACCAGCTGGATCCCCGCTCCGACTCCCTGCTAACTCCCTCGTCTGGGAGGGGTGCAGGAGGCATGGGTAGTTACAAGGAGTCCTGTAGGTGGTTCGGTGGCCATTCCCAGCCCCTCAGAAGAACTGAAGGGAGATGAAGGAAATGTCCTTTGAAGGTGGCAGTAAAAGAAATTAAGTGCTCACCACACCAGCAGCCATGTCCTATCCCCAAACACCTCCATCCCTTCTTCCACTGGGACCTCATCGTTTTACCACTGTGTGCCACGGCAGCTCACTTGGGTGGGCTCCCTCTGCCGGGGGTGTTCCTGGGTGCGGCACCCCCTCCCACGGACTCCTTTTCTCTTCCAGGCCTGCCTCGGTCTCGCAGTCAGACGTGCCTGCCAGAGCTGCTGCGGTTCCTGGGTCAGAATGTGCACGCCCGGAAGAATAAGAACGTGGACATTCTCTGGCAAGCCGCTGAGGTACTGGTTATAGAGAGGAAAAGGAGGCTATGGCGGTGCCCACTACCGAACGCCATGACAGAAACGTTACAACGCAGAATCTCCGAGGAGAGCAGAGCTCTCCACACGGGGAGAAGAGGGAGTCACTGAGAACGTTCAGTTCACGGGTCCGTTCCTTTGGGGCTGCCTGAATTCTGATAAACCTGACACAGTCCATCTCTTGGGCATTTACTAGCCAGGCTGATGACAATTGTCACCCTCAGAAGCCTGGCGATCGATACCAGCTGAAACCACTGTCTCACTGCATCATTTAATAGGGTCAGAAGGAGGCCATGTGACCTTTCAGGTCTCTTTAAACCATCTTGATCGTCCATTGTGCTTCTGATCTCCTCATTTTCCCAAGCACTTACCCTGCTCGTATTTTTTTCTAAGTTTATTTGTGGAATTCCAAGCCACTGCTCTGAGCCTGGGTATCAGAGCAATTTCGTAGCTGGTCATTCATTCACCCTTGATGAGGGGTGAGGTTAATTCTTCTCCACAGCAGCATAACCTGCCCAGCGCTGGGACCCGGGCACACGTGGCCCCAAGTGGCATTGCCGCTCCCTGCCTGGGCCTGAGGAAAGGGAGGGTGAGCCCAGGAGGGAGGTGGCACTGCGCTGCCCACCACACCTCAGCCACCACACCTTGTCACAGAGCTCGAGCAGCAGAGGGTCCCGCCCTCCACGGCTTCCCCAAGCAGCTCACTCTGAAGTGTGCCGCTCTGTCTTGTCAGGAAGGCGCTTCTCTCAGCCCCGGGTCTCTTCCACAGCGGCAGACGGTCTCAGCTGCTCATGGTGCGTGGCCGCCGCTTCAGGTTGGTTATTAGTCCTGTGTTCAAGCCGGGCTTCATGAAGCCGCACTTTGTGAACGTGCTGCACATTCTGGGTTTGTTAACAGTCGTGGCTGCTGATACCGTTCCGTTGAATTCAGCTTTAAAGAGTGAACATTCCCCTCCATCTGCTGAGTGCCTCAGCCGGTCAGACTTTATCCTTGTGGGAAGCAGGGGGTGGGTCAGTCTGCAGATCTCCCCTCT